GTTTTTATATCTAGTATCTTTGTTGAGAATTGATAATAAAATAAGCGACGACTTGGTAAAGAAAGTTTGGCACAAGTTTTTTTAGATCCAGCTGTAGGGGGCGTCCCATTTTTCGTATTCCCACCATGCATTTCGGTGGAACACTTTTTTTTTGTGTGGAGAACTCCATCTTGTATTTCTAGTATCTTTGGTTTCATGGATTATATAATAATGAATTAGATATTTTAGACTAAACCGAGACTACACAATAGCTTACTAAACATTAAAACTGAAAGAATATGTGACAGAACTGTGCAAAAGAGATTTATTTTCATCATTTCTATATGTGCTGTTATTCAGTATTTTATGCACACTAGACTAAAGAAATATGATTTTCTAAAAGAACAACCAAGTACAAATGCGACACATATTACAGTATGTACGCCAAAAACACATGCTTGTTTGAGCCATGCAAATTTATGCAAATAATGTATGCAAATTTGTGACCAAGGAAATACCAATTCTATGCAATGCAATTTAACTCCCCACGAATTAAAACTACAAGCAACGATCAAAAGAAATACATTCATTAAAAAAAAAAATACAATTGCAACTGTATAAATAAAAGTGCTACACCATATACCACATTATAAGCTTTTGTTGAAATATTCTGAATCATATCTGTGCTACAGTAATTTTTTTGAGTAAGAAACTATTTACTCAAAAAAAAATGTTTTCATGTACATATATTGAAACCATTCTATAAGCAAATAGCAAATATGAACAAGCTTTTACATCCATCAATTATTCAAATGACATGGAAATTAAAAAAAACAACTTTAAAACAAAATTGAGCATCTTAACCGCCAATCTACAATATAATAGCTATTCAATAAATTAATCAGTAAGTTGCATAATTATAGTGGAATGCAAAAAATACATGATAAGTACTGTCATACAAGTTTCCTTTTGTGCTGACTGGGTTTGGTAGCATATTTCAGTGGTGGATCAAGGATTTTAAAATAGAAAGGCCTAGGCAGGGTTAGAGATGGATGGCCTGGACTACCTCAGTCCCACTGCAGTTAGGTCTGAGGTGTAAAATCTTATTAAGGCTGTAGCACCATGTTTTATAGCCAGAAATGGAACTCTTAGACTTTAATTTTATAGTTTAAGCTGTTTTATGAAAATACTGGTATATAAGGATCTCAATTTAAGTTTACATACAATTTTTTTTTACAACTAAATCATTTACAGTGATAGCACAATCTTTGATTTTTGCATGGAATCTACACAGATAATAACTTAAATGCACTCCTCTCCAATGATAAACATTTACAATGGATTTTAATTTACTATTCATATTTTGCAGTGAACACAAAAATCACCATATCTATTTTGCTACGGCAAACATCATCTAGTGAACTATCTAAATAAGATCTTTGTTTATGTTAAAGATATTTCTACTGGTGGACAGATGGTTGTGTGGTTGGACGGTTCTATTCTCTTCTTGGGGGTGTTAACTTTCATAGAAACATTCATAATATTTAAAAAAATAGAAAATATAATATTTTATGAGATAACTTATTGCAGGCCCCTCTGTTTAGAATTACAACTGAATATACGACAGGAAACTTTGGTCTATAACATTCACCTGAACATTTTTAAGGGGGTGGGGTGGCTTCTAATATTTCTTGACTTCTTTGACATATTCTGGTACAATATTAAAAAGATTTATTAAAGCACACATATCTACTGCAGTAGTAATAAAGGCACTACAAAAGGAAGGAACTAAACACAAAGGAATAAATATAGAAATACTGTAAAAGTATTTTTCATTTCCTTTCTTACCTTGTTTCATTTTCTCGACCTCTTCATCAACGATGGCTTGGATGCTATCAATCTCCCATCGATGGACTGTTGTCTCCCACAGGACCGGTAACAGATTCTCAGATTTTGCACTGAATAATACATTTTTTAAACAAATTATTATATTTTATTTTGAAACAAAATAACAATTATTTGAAGTTTAAATAAAAATTATTTTTTAAACATTAATTGAAGAACATCCTATTTAAATCCAGATCATATTTTTCAAAAATAATCTCTTTGCAACTTTAAACAATATAAAGCCCTACGCACACTATCAAATTTTATTTGACAAAAACATGTGACATGCCTAAATATGGTCACATCACGACCATATATAGGCACATCATGACTATATACGGCAATACAAAAATTGTTTGTCAATGAAAATTTGAGTGTGAACGGATCTTTAGAAAAAAATATTTAAATTAAATATTATTTCTGAATATATTTTTAATATTAGAATTCAGTAAACAACTTTAAACAGCAAGTTTATTCCTGATAATGTCAAGTCGAAATGTTGATAAATATCGCCTCATTTTCTCTATTTGGACACATTGTTTTATTTTATTTAAACATATTCAGTCCACCATTTAGCCAACACGTTCATATCAAGCTAAAATTAATAATTGCTTATGTTAGCATTTGATTGAAACATTAAAAAAAAAAACATTTTCCTCATATCCATCCTGATGAAAATACTTTCCTATAATAGTAGCTGAAAGTTTAAACAAATTGCGCAATCACATCCCCAATACTTACTATTCAATTGGTACATGTAAGAGTGATGGTAAAATCTTGGACATATCTGCTGTGGACATAATCTTCTCCTCAATAGTATCTAACAACGCTAGGCCGACTCTGAATATTACCGTCACACCTAAAATATAAGGGTAACATGAGAGTATGACTTTATCCACTTCATTACAACAATAATTTGATGATTAAAACACATAATTTTCACCAGTAAAAACAATTAAAAAAAATGTGTCACTGGGCTCTCCGGGCAGCGCATACAGTACAATAAAACATAAAACATTTGAGTATAAAAATAGATAACTATATATAAAACCATCTCTTTTAAAAATTTCATTTTAAAATGATGATTTTTATTACATGAAGCTTAATTTAAATATTAAGGTCTTCTTGACTTATACTATTTACTATAGTCATAAGGTACAGTATGTAGAAGCTGCAGTGCTATATAGTAGAACTAAATCTACTAATATTAGTGAAATTATGTGCGTACCATTTTATCAAATCCTCTATGCTCACTGCTTTTCTCGACTGCAGTGGAACCTCATGACTTTCTTAGAATTAACATAATGACTTCATAAATGGAATCACATGGCTTCATAAGTGGAACCACATGATTTTAATAGTGAAACCACATTACTTCAATAGTGAAATAAATTATGCAAATTACCTTCCATTATTAGATGATCCCATATAGACAGCACTGTATCCCAGCACGGTAACGAGGTATACAAACACATGAACCATGGTGTGATAAACATCAACGGATGAACACCAACATGCTCCTGAAAAAATTTTAAAAGGAAAAATATTTTCAAACAATTTAAAGAAATAATTCTGTAATATTAAGATGTTGAATTCACTGGTCTCTGCACTTAATGTACTGATATATTAAAGAAACTTTTTATTTAAATACTAAAACTATAATGAGCCTGACCTGTTTAGGTCACCATTACTAACAAGCTCCTCTTTAATAATCTCTTTTCGGAATGGCACCACAAGCAACAATAGGTGGAATAATGCCATATAAATGAAATGATTGATTGTTGATTGATTGATTGAGAATGATAGGAATGCATAGAGTATTCTCAAAGGAACAAAAGGAAGTTCCAATTAATGTATGTTAATGTTTATAATTAATGAACAGCTGTAAATAACTATGATTATAATGAATATGACATGCTTAATACTTAGTAAAAATTTTAAAATTGGAAAAAAAGTAAAATGTTAAACTCTTTAGATTCAATGTGTTTTTTTTATTAGCAACTACAATTAATACTACTGTATAATGATTATTTATTAACATATTATATTGTTATTACTAACATCATTATCATCATTACAGGTATCCTATGATTATTACAACTAGTATTATTATGATGATGATAATGATGATGTTTACAATCATCATCTTAATATATTCGCTGCCTAAATTATCATAATATAATCTGGGTCAGTTATGTGCATACTAATCTGGTTACATTCTTGTATTATTAAAAACTTAAGCCCTGTATACACTAACACCTATGCATTTGTTACTATAATTCATCTAATGACATTGCATGAAATAAATTATTTATAATTTAATTAATTTTGAGAAGTATTTTAAAAGTATTTTATCCGCTGTAAATTAGTTCAAGCTTTAGTAGCTTTTACATTTTAAACAAAATTTTTAAGAGATTGTTTATTTATATTTATCTACTTTTATAATTGTATTTTTGTACTGTATGTGCTGCCAGGAAAGCCCCGTGACAGTAGCTTTGCTTTGCTTTTGGGCAATCCGGCCAGTTAGTAATACTTTTTTATTGTTTTATTGGTGAAATAAATGATACGATATATATGATATGATACAATATAGGTCAGGTTACAGTCATTTGATTCATTGCCATGAAACTGGGATATTCATGTCTCAGACAAATAATGTTTTTACAATCAATAAGAATAAAGAGCTCTATAAAAATATCCTGGAATTTATTAAGGAAATTGCCTCATAATCTTAAACAAATAATAATGCCATATATGGGTAAGGAAATCTCTCAACAGTTGTTTATAGTATTATTAAGTTAAGCATTGTAATTGAACATTGTAAGTAAAGGTGGTTAAAGTCAGTGGTAAAACACAACAATTACGGAGTAGAACACTCACGATTTTTATATTTTAATACAGGCAGGAAGAATGAAACAGGCTAGCAAAAAAAAATCAGCAATACTCTAGAGCAACTGGGTTAATTATGTTGTAGAATAATGCAATCCTACACACATTATACAAAGTAATAAATCATTCAGAATGTATCAACACTAATTTATGTAGGAACTTGCTCTTCCCAATAAAAAAAAAACTACCAAACTAAATTTAGCAAGTATATATGTGATAAACGCTACTCAAATAAAAACTGCAGTTTGTTTTTTTCGAATTTTGTTGACCATTGCAATTTTGATAAGGTAGTGGGAATACAGTTTTCTTATATTATTTATTTACTTATTAAAATTATATTTAGCTTTCTACAACAAATCAGAAGCTTCAAATATTTGCTTTAACTTTTGTAATTAGTAAAAAAATCAATAACAGTCAGGGTTGTTTCCTGACCTAGGAAATGTAATCAATTAGTTTCAATGGCAGTAATATTGTTATCAATACTGCAAACAATGCCTCACTAAAGATGAGATCAATGAATTCAATTTGAGCAACAGCATTGTTTTCCTGTGCAACTTTACATATTAAAATCATTTGGCATAATTTAAATCTCATACCTTTGTTACAATGTGTAGTTATTTATTCAAGAAATAATTCAGTGTTCGCTGAAATACATATTTTTATTACACAATCGTAAACTAATTAAAAGAGTGTTAGACCCAATAGAAAGGACAATTAGTTTATCACCCCCGCCCACATGTCTTCTATGGTATTGAAAAGAAAAAACATTTAAAAAAAATAAATAAATAAAAATATTTGTTACACTTTTTTTTAGTAAATTGTTTAGTAGATATTGTTTGTATTATCTTAATCATGTATTTTACTTTGAATATCAATACACCAGAAAACAACCAGAGGGTGATATTTGGCGTTAACAAAATAAAAATCCTCCCTTCCTCATCAATTTTCCAGCCTAGATAGGGAGATAACTTATACATTTTTTTTATTGGGCCTTATATATAGAGAACAGATTCAACATTTGTTTTATGCATCTTAAAATCTGCATTTTATTTTCTAATTAACAACTGTAAAGTATTAACATACTTTAAATATATAAACAATTTTAATTTTACATTATATGTTTATAGCTCAAACTAGATAGGACTGATCTTCAAATCATTATCATTATCTTACCAAATGTCTATAAAGTGATGGCTTTCTTTGCTTGAGTAAACATTTAAAAACTTCTGCATGGCGCTGTATTCTGTAACGTAAAAACCAATATGTTTAGCAGTTAAAATTTAAGCAAATCAACTGATGACTGTTTCAAATACCAAAGGTCATTGGAAGAAAAATGGGAATTAAAATGTCTTAAAATTCAAACATTAGAATAATGTGGTGATTAAACTTTAGGTATATAGTAATGAGAAAGACGATGATGAATGATGATGATGATTCTGATTATGGTGATGACTATAACAACAACAACTACTGTAAAACCACAAAAAAAAGAAAAAAAAAACAATATAAAATACAATATAGTGAAAGAAGATAAACAATTTTTAGTTATGAAAATTTCATAAAAAATTTACCTGCCCATGGAAGAACTGAAATAGCCAGAAAGGTACTTTGCTTTTTCGAAGAGCACAACCATTACCCAGAATGCATCTTGCTCCTCAAGATTCATAAGGAGCATCCCGACAATATACGACATGCCTAGAATTTCAAAAAGACGGATTACAATAAAACTTTGCATTCTTAGTCATACACAGATCCTTTAAAAGTTAACTGTGACTTTTTACATATTCATTTATAAGCAGAAATATGAATGAAAATCAATTTCAGATAGGGTTATGTTGTCACAAAACAAGGCTTATGAGAAGTATGCTTCATTTAGGCCTATGTAACATCCTCTGTTGGTGGACAAAACAAAGTGAGATAATTTTTACTAATTAGCAAGTTAGGTTAACAATAGAATAAAGTTAGGCCTACATTTTTAGGCAAAGAAAATCCTGGCTGATTAGTGCCGCACCTAGATCGAAAAACACTATACCCAAAGTACATTATTCTTTTTCTGTCTTACTTGGAAAAGAATACCTAGTTTTTGAAATGGCAAAAACAACGATACGACCTTGTTACACTGTCTCGATGATGTAATTGGAAATTAGTTTATCCTGTTTTCAAAAACAAGTACTGTTTGGCGAAAAATGTCTGTTATGAACTAAAAAACAAATCAATATAACATTTAAATGCTTACTTAGTTATTAAGTTTACAAATTTAAGAATTAAGTTGAGAAAGTATTTTTCAGACTCTTGAACTGTTAACGTAGTGATAATTTACCTTGGCAGTAACCAACAGATGGGTTAAATCTGGCATATACGGCAAGAACACGGAATAACGATGCCCGTCCTTCCATCCCCTCCATTCCATTCCCACGGAACCTACGATGCATGGGGAAAGTACGATCTGCGAAGTAAAAAACAAGAGTTCAAGTACAAGTTCAGTACTGTGGGAATGTGTCTACCAAACAGAAATGAGAAGAATAAAACACAAAAAATGTTAGTTATGAAAAATAAAGTAATACACATAAAGAATTTAGAGTTGGGAATTAGTGAACAAATGTCAATTTTTCCTGTGCAAGGCCCTATGAAAATATTTTGTGCTTTGACCATGAAAATTATCTTTATAGAATGTCTCTATCTGTACATAAAAACAGTGGCTGTCTGTAGAAGAAAAAAAGTCTTTAGTGCTTCCAAGCGGTCAGAAGCCAAGAAAAACATTACCAACATCCACTGCAATTTGACGGATGACGGCAACCGGGACATGCGACTTGTCGAAACGTTCAACGTTGTCTTCATCTAGCAAATCTGGTCCCAGTTTGCTTGTGCAATATTCACTGATGTTTAAGTCAACCATCTGTTGCCTTAGTAACTGAACATTTAGCTGAAAGAAATATTTTTAAAACCCCACCTTGTCACAAATTACCATACAGTATGCAAAAATAATAGTGTGTTTTATTTATGTTCAAACTATTAACCTGTTTTTTTTTTTATAGTGTCAGATGAATAACAGACTATTATAAATCAACAGATTATCATTTTTTATTTACAAAATAACAAACGAACCGCAAGCACTTCCACCAAAATTACATGACAATTGACTTTATAATGGCTACATCATTCATTATCATACATACAGTATAACAAGAAATTAAAACAAAAAAAATAATTTTCTATTGAAATTATACTCAAGGCTAAACATTACATAGCCCATGACACCTGTTACCTTGGCAACAAAATTAAATCAATGTATGAGATCATAATGATGTATTTAGTAAGTCTGTATCAGGTAAATATTGTATTGTATTATGGACTGTATTATAAATGTTTATCCAAATAATTTCCCTGAAACCTTGACTCAGAAATACCGGGATGGTGTGGAGTTCAATAAGGATAAAATATTTTTATAGACTCAAATAAATACCCCCACTTTATTATTACTAATACAAAGTTTAAATTACTTATACTGTACTGTGTCCCAGGGTTCAAGGTGGAGGCATACTGAAGTTACTGTACCATGGTGAAAGTATTACACCCCCATAGCCTGGGTATCAGGAACAATACAAGACGCATTCATATGAATACAAACTACTTGGTTGAGTAGTTCAACTTCTTTGTTAAGCAAATTAAATGTAAATACCAAGTAATTGAATTTGCTGGAGGCTTGGAGTTGGTTTGTTCCTAGAACAGCTTTCCAGAGTTTTCCCCTCAAATGGTGCGGAATACCTCTCTGGATGTGTGACTGCAGTTTGCCTAGTGATTTGTTGTCAATATCACCAGAAATCGTGTCAAGGAACTTGGATAGATCTTGTTGTTGTGATTCTGAAAGGGAGCTGTAAAATAATAATAAAAAAATAACTAACCTCTTGTGGTTTATAGAAAAAAATTGAAATCACAAAATTAATGTAAATAAATAGTTTAAAATAAAAGTAATTACATTAGTTTAAATAGAAAAGAAACCACAAATACTGAAAGTAAATATGCACATGTTGGTGGTATGTAAAGAAATTGGGGACAAAAAACAAAGGGTTCATTTACTTATATCTTATTTACGGAGTACAGTACTACATATTATTTTTGTTAATACACACATGTTTAATAATTTCAGATTTGCAATTTGAACAAAACAAATTTGGTTATTGCAAATTTGCAATTAAAACAACAGAATTTCATATATTGAACATCTTGGACATTAAAAGGAATTTTGTAATTATTCTAGTACTGTATATTTGTGACTAGCTCTGGCAAAATCAGCTGTTTGTTGGGAAAATTCATGATTGAGATTATGAGTGTTTTTCAATTCTGCATGAAATCTTCTTTAGACAGTGTTTATTTGATGGAAATTGGTTGAGTATAGTGCAATTATGAATATTCATTTCTTGAATGTCAGCCATGTAGGTTTTGAGAAAAATCAATAGTTATTATTAAGATTTGTATTTTGAAAATAATTTAAATGTACTTTTCAGCTAGATACAGTGATTGAAATTTTGCAGAAATGTTCTTTAAATATACTGTATTTTCTTTTACAAAATGCAAAAACATGAAAATGTTCAAAATTATGATTCTCAATCATTTTGGGTGCTTGTGAGAAATTAGATAGCATGTCGACAAATGGTCGGTTATATTTTTTTAATGTTCACTTGACGCAATTGCCTTAATTTGCTGATTTACTGCTGAGCATGTGCAGGAATCATAAATAGCCAATTAATGTAAGTGCTATGTACTGTAGTGTGTAGGTGTTAAGACAAATAATTTGCCACTTACAGTCAACAACTAGTGTAGTATTATAATCATTCTTTTGGATAACATTTTACAATACAATATACTATAGTCAGTAAGTGTACACAACATGGCATAAATGAAATGTGGGTGATTGATGATAATTATGTTATAATATTTTTTTGTTTATTAATTCAGTTACAGGCAGAAAAAGGAAAAGATCTGCATACTATAGGGATGAGTGGGAGTCAGGAGGTCAGGGAAAGAACAAAATGACCTATGCACCAGAACAAATATAGAGCGCTGACCCGAGAGCCACAAATTCCAGAACTCATAGAATACAGACATGGCTGTCTAACTGGTATATCAAAATGAGTCTCCCATCCCCAAAAAGATGTCCCTACCCACCCCTATGCAGTGGCGGCATCAGCGGGGTGGCAGGCTTAAGCCCCCCGCCGGACAAGTCAAGCCCTCCCGCCGGACAGAGCTCGTCGGGCAGTCAGACCATAAAACATATAAAAATAGACCCACACCAAGCCAACACATGTCTGTCACAGTCTGAGAGTGCCATTTTCAGCCATCCAGAGGTTGATATTCTTAAAAAAAAAATCAAATTTGGGAGGGGGTACACCCTCTCAAACCCTTCCTTCAGTTCGAGCCTACGAGCTCAGTCCCCCTGTCGGACAACTTAGCCCCCCCAGAAAATATATCCTAGAGCCGCCACTGCCCCTATTAGTATCCCCAGCAAGTGATTTACGGGTTCACAAAATATTTTGGATATATGTACTGTACAGTGTAATTGGTTTTGTTAGATGGATAAAATCTTATAGGGGTAATTCCATATCAATGCAACCAAAAAAAAAAAAATGTCAATCTCTCCGAACAACATAATAAAACTTGAACAAAATTCGAGATTGATTTTTTTTTTTTTGTTGATTTGACATGGAATTACAAATGAGAGATCTTTGCACCAAGTAAACTTAATGTATGAAACAGTATACTGTAATAGAACATTATCTTTTTTATCCTCGGGGGAACTTGGGCTCATAGGCCCGAGCTGGAGGAAGGGTTTGAGATGGTGTACCCCCTCCCAAATGAGATTTTTTTAAGAAAAGGAACCTCTGAATGGCCAGAAATGACATTCTCTGATTGTGACAGGCGTGGGCCTATTTTTATATATTTTTCAGTCCGACTACCCGGCGAACTCTGTCCAATGGGGAAGGGCTTGACATGTCCGGTGGGGGCTTAAGCTTGTTTATATAAAACTCCACTCCTTGCCTGCACAATACACAACAGTAACTGGTAATAAATTTATAGATTTTTATATAAAAACAACAAATAAGCCAAACTGAATTATTTTGATCTGTGTCAGTCTGAAAGTTGATATTTTACTTGATCATCTAAAATAAAGTAATTAATATTATTTTGAATAGGTTTTTTTTTTAGTATTTCAGCATTCACTGTAGTCTTTAAATGACTGTCCATACTAAAATCATGCTCCTCCTACTGTACATGGGTGTTATAGAGTATGACATTACTGTACCATTCCCATATTATAAAATGCCATTTATAGCAATCACATATCACATAAATTTGTAGCGTGGACATATACTGTACAGTAGTCTTAGAATCATCTCTTTAACTTCTTACATTAACAAATACATAGCTTTATAAACAGATATTTCCAAGGAAAAGGTTCAATTCAGTCATTCACGCACTACGACTGTTGATATCACATATTAAGCAAAAACCAAGTGATCTACAGGCTTTCAGAAGCTTTAAATCTATTCCTTCGGTAGAAGATCCATCAGGTCAAATTAGATCAACTTTAATTAATTAGTCCCATTAAACTCAGCAATGCTTGAAGATACATATTAAGATAATCTTTCCACCAAAGGTCAGTCTGAGATAATTAAATTTTCAGCACTACCTCAACGTATTCCAATACATCCTGCTTTGAATAAATACTGAATAGATTTCAGATTTGGAATTTTCGTCGTAAATTCCTCCTCCCCAAATGACTGAACAAAGCTAATGGAATGAACACTGTTCTCATTATTATTCTATTACCAACGTTTTCTCAGAATTAGCATTATTACTAACCCAAGATACTATAAAATACAGTTGGGGCATTTGAGTAATATATCCATTTCACTCTAAAAAAATACAAATTCTAAATGTCCCCACAAAAATCCACTGAACATGCCTGGGAAATGTTGTGCTTACGACCATGAAAATTGTTCATAAAATGTCTCCAGCACCAAATGTTATCTGTACACTACATGTATATAACTCAACTAACTTATATTTTACATGTTTTCCCCCAAAATGCCTCCGAATGCCGGTAATGAACTTTTTCCAGTCCTGCCACTGAACAATATGTTTATTCAAATAAAATATTTTAAATCTTTTTCTATAGACGTTGACTTTGTTTATAAATTCCTAATCCTGATGGGATGTTATTGGCCTAAATAACTACTGTACTGTACATGCAATCAGAATTAGGATCTATTTCAGACTGGTATAACATTAGCCAATTCCTTTTCTATATTAAACATGGCTAGCTCTGAATTTACCTGCAAGGATACTCATGTTGCCGCTCTCCTAGTTCATCTCTAGCATCCACCCATGCAAAACCATACTCATCATATTCGTCTCCATCTGCATCGCACTCTGGTTGTTCATTTTCAATATTTTCTTGTTCCTCCTCCATTTTCTGCTTCCGATGTATCATTAGATGACGATTGTAAATTCTTTGATACAATCTCTATAAAGGTATTATTTCTTCTGATGGTGGTTATCCGTTAATTGTTTGCATCTACAGATATCAGGTTCAGTATCTTCACAGTTAAATCTGGCCAAGTAACAAAAATTACACGTTAATTAATACAAAAGAATTTTTAAATCTTCTAATATAGGCCTACTGTACACCTGCACACCAGATTATGAAAATAAGGCCTGCACAGGGAATCTATTCCCAGTGCAAAAATTAGGCCTAGAAATACATCCACGCATTTCGGAAAACAAGGGCCATTTTTCATGCATATTTTGCACAAAATTCGGCCTTGCGTCTATCTCTCAATATATAACCAATAATTTAGGTACTACTACTGTAGTTACAATTTTGTGCAAATAGGACTATAGTATTTTCCTAATGAAATACTGGTACAGTAGCTCTGTTAATCCGAATTATTATAAACAGTAAAATGACAGACAGGCAGACTGACTAACAAATATTTTATTAGCAGAACTTCTTCAGTTGAAGGGGGGAGGGGGGTATGACAGTTTCAGCTAGCAAAAGTTTGTGATAATAAAATATTTGTTAGTCTTCAAAGTGCTGCCTGTCATTTTACTGTTTATTACTATTTTATTAGAAATTTTCCATGCAAATCTGTGTAATAGTTTTCGATGTACTGTACAGTAGGCCCACTAGGCCTATCCCTCTTTGCAATTATAATTCTTTGGGTTGGGGTCTAGGCCTACAGTATGGCACGAGCATAGCCAGCAGCAAATATTTTACGCAGTTGTTATTTGTCTGTGAAAGAACATTTGCGTAACAGCCGTGCACTCTCGGTGAGGGTGGGGGGAGCAACTTTATTTACTACATAATATTTAATATTTAGGGCTAGGTAGGCCTAGTCCACACTGTACATTAGGCCTAGGCTAGACTAGGCTAGGCTAGCTAGGCCTAGGCTAACTAGGCCTAGCCTAGCCTAGCTAGCCTAGGTGTTTACAAACATACGGAATTGAATAAAAAGAAAATAACACAAAATACGTACAAGGTACAAGTCACTTCATTTAAAAAATAAACATTAATAAAACGTACCTGGTGTATGGAGCTAGGAATGCTCCTTCCATTCAAACTGCCTTTTTTCTTCATAAATCCCAACAATACCGTAGTTGGATTGGATGCTCAGCTGCTCTCTCAGCATCAAAATTTTAATAATTTGAAAGCGCGCCACCATCACCACATCGATAGCGGGCGCAATGTACAAAAGTTGTTTGATCAATGACACATTTTATATAATAATAGGGCTGTCAAGAAAAATTTAATCCTGGGCCAGAATCTGTCCGGCCGCCGTATCTGTTTTTGGACCGAACCATTTTTGACGTGAAAGGTCTATATTAATAAGGACCTCTGTTTCATTTTAAGTTGGTAGTCTTTATTTTTTAATTCTTTTAAATAAATTGTTATAATTCAGATTGACGGGTGAAATTCCTGGAGATCCAACGTTGTAGAACATACAACCACTTTTTGTACATATGGATAAGTGCCAAAGGACAATATGATTTTTAAAAAAAAAGTATATGTATCATGATGTACAACCACACATTCACCGTTTCACTCAAAGTGTTCTATTAACAACAATTTTCACATTAATTACTTTTGCACAATCGCATTGGTGTGGTATCAATTAACCCTTAATATTTCAAAGTAACACTTAACATCAAATTTGATAAAATCACAGTATGTATACCCATTAGTGCAGTCACTAATTCACAGTAGCGTAGCTGGCTCACCCCCACCCCTGTCTCTTATACACATCTAGATGTGTTGTCCGAAGCAAAAAAATCGCACTCAAGTATATTAAACATCACTTCACAACACAGTAACCAATCAGCTCCCCTATTTCAAGGCTATGATACGCCACTGCCTAGATCGTGGTATTTAATTAGCACACTGTTGCTTATCTTCTTCTATTAAAAATCGTCAGTAGCCGTAAATCTTAATGTCAAGTGATAGAATATCAATAAGTATCAGTCAATGGTGACCAAGTGTTTTTTTAATAAAATACTGGAACAACAGCACCAAAAATGACGTTCAACATTAACACGTTTTATTTTTAGAATTCAATACACCCGCTATGCATTGAGAAACAAATGAGAAAACAACAGAACTTCATGACAAATTTTTGATTCAAACATTTTATTTTATTTGCTTTTGAAATTTTAAGATAACATCAATTATTTCATAATCAATAACAATATTTACAGTATTTGAGTTGACAATATTGTCATTCGACTTAAAGATTTGTAGAGGTAGGCATTATAAAATATTTTATGAAAACTGTTTCCCCAGCAAATACTTTCAGATAAAAATAATCCGCTAAAATCCATCTGTAAATAGATAAAAACTATATTTGCCGATTTTATGACCGTATCATGTAAGCAACCAGTGGTCTGTACACCTAGCGTGCGCAGAATAATGAAATCAATGTTAAATGTGGCAACATAGAGAATACTATATTGCCTATTAGGCCTACTTGACACTATAATCTGAACATTTTAGTTTATTCAGAATTCGTTTGCTTCCTTTCCACGAGAATAATCAGATTATGACTATCCGATATTAATAGTGCTGTGGAAAACATTGGCCTAGACTATCTTTAACGCATTAGATACAAAATAAATTATAAATATGATAAAATTAAAACATGAAAACACTTGACTAGCATCTATATTTAACGAGGAAAAATGATGATTTCGAACAGTGTCTTTTTGGATATTATTAACCTAATGTCCATATTATATGAGTAATTCACGTCCTCGTAGGTCTATAATTTTAGTTCTTTTCGAGATTTCACCACATACCACAATATTTTTTGGCTATGATTCAAAACCGTTTCCTCTTCGTTTTGCATTAATGTAATATCTACAACTATCCTTAAAGACTATACTTTAGATACAAGTAAATTTGCTTTATACATAATTTCAATAATATACAAATAAATGATCTGAATAATTCATTTTGTCCTGGTCCACGCATCTAAATACAATACATTACATTATTTTATATAATATATACATTATGGCCATAGAAAATCCTCCATCATACTGGTTCGCCGAAGAAGGGATCGACTTTCCTCTTCCTGCACTTGCGCAGTATGTTTCGTGGTCCAGGGGCCACGAACGTATACTGGCTAGGTCCATTTTCGTCGTCACCGATTCCACCTTCGTTCTTGCCTGCAAAACCGTCTACGGAAGCCTTCATACACCACACGTACATTTCCTTTCCCGCACCAACACATCTAGATAAGAAATTTTAAAATGAATCGGCTTAGGTGATGTGTACAAGTTTTGAAACGTAATCGTTTCTATGTAGTAGGCCTACATTGTTTTCTGAAACTTCACTTTTTTAAGCCTCATAGGTTTATAGGGCTTCTCTCTCATGTAATTGATAAGCTTACTGATGTTGAATATAAAACAATATTTTAAAAAAAAAACTGACCACAAGAATTAAAAATCAACATTTTACAAGATCATTCAGTTTTGGCCACCGAGACGGAAAATTCGGACTAGCTATTCAGAGAAACGGCGTTAAGTACTGTAAGTGGTATCACTTATATGCTGCTTGCATTACCATGATTCATGATATTTTAATTTGTATTCATATGAAAAATTGTTTTATAATATATAATATCGTTATATACCGCATCCAGTTGAGCCCTGGACACTAGGTAGGCCTACTCATAAAATGGGTTTCACTGAGGAGTTCAACAGCAAACAGATCTAAAACAACTTCGCACATTTTGCTATCAATACTTTTTAATCATAATTGCACATTTCACATCTTTAACGTTTTCATCTCAACAAAGAGTTTTCACATTTTATTCATATACTTACGTTTGAGACTAACACATTTAGTTTTGTCTCATGCACACAATTTTCCAACAAAGTTATTTTAATCTGCTGCCCTCATGGCTTTTATTAACTTTATATTTTTGCTTTCTTACCTGCAATAGTCATCTCGTCCATCACCATCTTCGTCTTTCATGTATGATGTATCTTTGTAGCCGGGATCAAGATTTGATGTTGAAACGTAGTTGTACTGACTCTGACCCTGGGTGCCCGCCAATGCACACGCTAACATCAGTTGATTAGGAGTGGGATTGATCAATCTAACACAGGAAAAAACATAAACAAATTTTAAAGTGGTCCTCAATGTCGTCGTCATGTTAGTTGATATTCAATAAATAGTCAAACGTTGTCATTGGTTATGCTGTGATGTGTACATACCTATCTAGGTGCAAGCGTCCAGCCAACATTGTTTAATCAATCATAATAATTAGGCAACGGAATAAGTTCAAATATCAATGAGTTACGAATTCGAGTTTGATTACTTACCGACAATAATCGTTGGCAGCACCTTGACCCTGAACGTCAACCCACCCACGAAAATAATATGGTATCCCAGTATCATTAATATCACGTCTGCGGGGTTTGATCTTTGGCGGAGCATCTGTCAAAATCGAGATTAAACGGAATCGGTGTAAAAGTACCGTACTCTGTACTGTTTTAAAAAATATTTATATCAATACTGTTAACCCTCCCTCAAATTCGAGACAGTTTTTGGCAACTGAAAATGTGGGGTGGTCTCGGGACTCCGGTCACCGATTAGAGGGTTGAGATGTGTCTTAAAAGATTAAAGATTGTTAATTGGTACCTTAAAAATGTGGTCTCGAATCGGAGGGATCCGGGGTCGAATTAAAGAGGGCGAACTGAAGGCATAACTTAGAAATATAGATTATTGTAACTCAGAGTTCAGAGGTATTGCAAGCCCACCATCATACCTTCACAAGGGGTGCAAGGCACAAGCTCAGGTAAGACGTTTGTCTGCTTCGATGACGATGGAGTAGTCTGGATCCAGGTTGGTTCGGTTGTGTACTTCAGTGGTGCAGCCATAGTAGTGGTGCGAAACTTGGGCGAATTCATGGCTGTCTTCGGGGGGTTGGTGATTCCGGAATCCGAAAGAACTTCTGCTTCGCCCGACGATATTAAACCTTTCGGTGGAAGTGAGTCTATAGTGGATTTAAAGTGAAATAAACAGTTTTGCATGAGAAAAAAAATTAGCATATCAAGGGAGAGCCGGGTGACCGAAGCGATACGACAAAGTTTCCGTTAAGATTGGCGCTGTTTCAAGACCCTCCACGCTCCAGGGTTTGAATAATAGAACCAAGTATTTTAGTATATGGACTTCAAGGCGGTGGTCCAGTGTACAAATCTTTCGGAAATGTATGAGGTTAACCTGATGCTCTGGTTCATACCAGCCTCTTTCGTTGTGAAAATATGTTATTGAAAATTTATTAAAGGTCTCTCCACCGCTAACAGTAGTCACAGACCAATGTTAGCCCCACCCCACTCCTCGTAATTTAGCGCAATGACGCTACCATTTATGGGTAGTATACTACCTTTACTTTATATCAACAAAGAGAACTCACAAATTCTTCCCACTCATACATTACTAATATCATTACTACATTCTGGTTTGACTGACAGACAAAGATCTTAGCTGACAGACCAATTGAAATGGGAGCGTCAGTTTACGCAGTAACAAAAACTATAATGCTACCTGATAAATGATAAATATTGTCAGACCATCGCGTCGTCAGGCAAACAATTATCTTACCTGATAATATAATTGTCAAAATGATTCTATATGTTTGTCGACCTTTTGTAGTATGTACAGTGCACGTATATAGGCCGTTATCCGATTCGTTAGCATCATGGATGATGAGTCGGCGGTTCGTTATGGTGTAACGCCGTAACGTTGAAGTCAAATCAGCGCCGCCGAATGTCCAGATTACGGCTTCTTCTGCTTTACCACCGTACGGACACATGAGTAGCGCCCTCAATTGACTCTCGGAGTCTTTTATAAACTCAACTTTTTCTGGCTCAGGAGGAGGGTCTGTAGGGTAATCTTTTATTTTTCCAGCACCAAAAAATAACGAAAACACAAATTATTAAATCAACTAACAAGAACAGTCTTTGAAAAAAAGTAATTAAACGAAATTTAAAATATAAATATTTTAACTGAATTTTCTACCTACCTATTACGGTCAGAGTACAGTTTGCAGAATCAGTGCCATATTGGTTTGTTGCAACGCAGGTATATCTACCAGAATGTTTTGCTTCTATTCTGCTGATCAGTAGTGTCGAATCAACGACAAGCATGTCCGAATGCCCAGCGATGATTGGAGATTCCTCGAAGAACCACGTGACGTTCGGGGTTGGATCCCCAGTACTGTCACATCTCAACTGCACATTCTGTCCCACGTACTCGACAATATGATCCAATGGTTTTATAATGTGTGGTAATTGAATCACTCCTGAAGTAGTATAATATAGTATTTAATACACCTGGTGTAGGCTCTATCAGTAGGGGCCTACATTTTTTTAATGAACTTTCAATTTCAACTAGAACAATCGGAAACTCGAAGTAATAAAACACCTTTCATTTCAGTTTAATCATACTATCGTCCTTCTGTTTTAATTATTGTTTGTGTTTTCTGCATATTTCGCTATGCAGTTATTGACATTTGGTAATTTTGAAGCGGCAGTGTTAAGAATTAAACAATATTGTTGACAGTCCTCCACAGCATAATGCGCTATACTGTCATTACACAACCTTAATTACTTTTCAGAAGTCAAATCTTTGCAAGTTTTCCTGTACTGACCTATAATCCTGAGACGAGCATTCGCAGTAGCTGTGCCAATCGGATTGGATATTTTGCAAGTATATGATCCAGCATCTTGGAAAGTAGCCTGCTTTATAGTCAAAACAGTTCCATTCATTGTTACAGAAATCCGAGACATACCGTCTTTGCTATCTTCCAACAACACCTAGAAAAATTGAATTTTGCAATAATATAAAGAAACTGTGATTAATCAATAGAATAAATAAAGTTATTTAACGTGTATCATCCTAGCGTATAATAATTATTGAAAAATAGTTTACAATTTGAATTCGAAATCACGACGTAACCGTTACACGTCACAATTCACAACTTAACATGCGACTATACGAAGAGCCCATTATTAACTTTGTACACAAATGTTTGTAGGTTGTTTTCTGGACTGACTGTAAGCTTGGAAAGGTAATCATATCCAACAGGGGCGTACTAAACTTGCAGGATGCAATAAAACGGACAAGTGAAATTGAATTTTGATCCGAGTATATACATTCGAAATAAGATGATGAATAAACATTCACTAAACATGGTCTATTAATAGCGCATATTTCCGAGAGTATGACACATGATAATGAACGTCACAAATTATGACGAAGGATCATTATACAATAAAGTGTTATTATTTTGTTGAATGTGTGTAGTGTACAGAATCGGTAACACTTTCTTTGAGATCATTATTATGATACATGCACATATCATATATTTAGTATACACCATTAAAAGCTATCCAGTATAACACTGTATTAATTATGATACAAAGTGTATCAGTAGCGTAGGTGAAACTAGGGTTAACTAGCACCTGTCACACAAAACATTAATCAAAGAAATACTGTTAGCACATAAACTTGAAATATTACAAAAGTGAAACTGTTATCAATTACAAAACATGGTGCATATCAAAACATGGACACAAGCGCAAGTGCAATTACAAAGAATGTTATGTGGAAAAAATAAAGCATGCGCAAACTAAACCGGCATTACAATAGCTATCCCAGGCACCGGCAATTAAAATAGCCAACTCAATATAGAACTACCTAGTCTGTATATCGCTGAAGTCATCCTATGTTATGATAGTTTGGTTCGAACTAATGTCATTTAGGTGCGTTCACACAAACCACGCCATGCTACTACGCTTAAATGCGTTGCTTGGGTTTGTATAGAGTTATTTAAAAATAGAATACCTCTATGGTATCAACGCACCTAAACTTCTCTAGTGTGAACCGTGCCCTAAGTAGCATTCACACGAGTTCGCGTCATAGTCGTGCGTACTGTACAAATGACGGTACATTCAGACTGGCGCGCGTGCGCGTCTAGATACAATACGCTCTGCGCTATACAGCCACTAACCAGACGAATGGATCAGGATGTTTACAAGCTTAGATATGCTCATCATAATAATGATAATCAACCGTGTGAATGCCACCTTAACGTTACTTACAAGGTAAACCTACGTGCACATACCAAGCCTGAAGCAGAACTAGAGCGGTTGTTAGTAACTTGAAGCTTGGGAATCTTGCAAAGCTCCAGTGGGTTGTCAGCAAGTGATAGCTGACATATGAATTTTATGGCATCTAAATGTGTATCTCTGACCTCATTTTCTCCCCGGTACCACGTGACAAATGAATCGTCTGTGTCAGGAATGCACTTCAATACAATATCTTGGTTTTCTATTACGTAACCATCCAATGGCCGATCTTGGAATGATGGCGGCTCTGAAATAAGTACAACACAATACAAGGTGAATGCCAATTTATTAGTAACAATTAGGCCTACTACAGTGAAATTCGTCTACCAATATAAATCGAATTATCTACTATGCCAACTATGTGAATCGTATCCATAGGCCTATACATCAGGTTCTGTCCCGCTGTTTGGTAAAACGTATTCCAATGCACATGGGATGCAACGTAGTGTTATGGTTCTGTCGTTGCATGATTGACAACATTAGACAGTAAAAGTAAAACGTAACTAACGAGGAGCACAACGCCTGGGAGTAATTACTGTAAACAAAGAGCTAAAGTGGAAACTTTACTTTTATAAACTTCACCTCTGTATAATATAGTTGACAAGAACTACATAACAAAAATCAGGGGAATTGACAGTCCTTTTATACCAAGGGTGACGCCAGTGGGGGCAGGAGCCATGCGTCAGAGGAGAGCTTCTCTCTCCCCCGTCGGGGAGAAAAAAAAACACAACTCGTCGGGAGAAAAAAAATGCATGTATTTCCTAATCTTAACATATTAGTTGACTCTAAAATCGATTAAATAAGCCTTCGAAACCCCAAAATTGTCCTAGTTTTCGATTTTGAGCGACTTCCTACAAGACTTTGCTCTTGTAGGAAATGCAATTCCAACGTAAAGAATTACACGTTATAGCTATTATTTGATTTAAAACTAAATATAATATTAAAAAGAACATATTTTTAAAACACATCTTTAGATATTACACTCACTACAACAGCAATGATTGATCTGAATAATCCACATTAGATTTTGTAACAAGTAAAAAACAAAATCATATAACAGGTGGGATATAGGATTAGACTTGAAAATGAGTTTCAATTTGATAATCCACTTAGCAACAGCACATTACTTATGATTTATCGTACTTACTGTAACATTTAGCATCGCCTTCAATATGTCCGTCATTGCACATTACGTCACCGTTACCGCCAAGAAAGAAGCCTAGATCTTCGTAACATGTCAATCTGCCAGTTTGGCCATGTGTCAGGTAACCATGGGTACCGCGAGGGTTGGTCTGCATACCGCAATCGGCTGAAATTTTCGGAAATATTATGACGTATAATTATGTTGATGACGTAACAACGTAGGCCTCTACAGTACCAACATTTTACTTCATTAATAGTTTGTATCACTACGAAAAGAATTATTTTAAATAGCATGGAAATCGACGGGAACCATGTTAGGAAGACAAGCATTTTTCCCCCTCACTTTTAAATAAATTGAACATAATTATAGTCCTAATATTCGAGTCAAGAAAGTTCAACCCCTATTCCAAGATCCTGGATTCGTTTACCCCTGCAGAGTTACCGCAGTATTTCCTCACAACTCCCCCACTGGGTTAAAACCCATCGAAGCTAAAATCACACTGCCAGAATGGAGTTGTTCTTGTTAAATATGGCATTAAAAACGAAAATTAAATCACAAAAACGAGTCAAACGGAAAATTGAATAACAAAATCAAGTTGTTCTTTCACGTCAGAAGAAAACGATAGTCTACTGTGTGCAGTACAACATGACTTTTAAAGGAAGCATGTAAAGTGTTAGATATAGGCGCATTAGAGATCATTTATTTTGGTTAGGCGCTACTGTTTGTAAATGTCATTCCGTGTGTAGGCTAGATATAGGCGCATTAGAGATCATTTATTTTGGTTAGGCGCTACTCTTTGTAAATGTCATTCCGTGTGTAGGCTACAGCCTGAGCCGCTTCAAGAGGAAATTAGGGCGTGTAGCAGTAAGCTGTTATTCTTTACATCGATTAACAACAATTATTTGCATGTACAAATTTATTTAGAATGACGAGAATAAGTAACGACAATGATGATGATGATGATAATTGATAATGGTGGTGATATTGATGACAATTATTTAATGATAATTATAATGTTAATGATAATATTAAGGATGATGTGTAATGAATGTGATGTGGTGATGGTTATAATGATGCTGATAACTCTAATTATGCTACCGGTGTCGATGGTAATCATAACGATAACAATAGTAATTAAAAATAAAACCATGGCAGTACATCTTACCAAAACACTTTGGTGGTTCGTGATTGTAGATTCCGTTAATACAGAGTATTACAGGTGCTCCAACCATTGTGTACCCCTTCTTACACATATACGAGTGACTTGACCCGTGATATAGCCCTTTTATTTCTAGAACACCATTCGTAACTTCTTTTGGAAGTGGACAGCTTTCTCCTGGTATAGTGTATTAAAGTTAATAAATTTTAATTATAAATAAATACTACATTTTATACAAATCAGCGTGTTTTAAGAAGCAACCGTATGTTCGGTTGAGCAAATGATCATTATATGGTCTGTAGGACTAACCTTGTTTACTCTGACTGGCAACCATAAAAAACACAATATGATGATTACCGTACAGCTTATTACAAAATTGTTATAACACGAAAGTACATTAGACCTACAGTTCGTCCTCCAATTCGAGACCACATTTGGGACCTGAATATTCGGGGTGGTCTCGGGGTTGGTCTCTCCAATTAGAGGACTAGCATTTGTGTTAAAAGGTTGAAGATTGTTATTTGGGTCTTTGGAAAAGTGATCTCAAATTAGAGAGGTCTCGGAATTAGAGGGGTCTCGAAATGGAGGGTGCACTGTATTTTGTAACTTATAATTATTAACTAATTGATTATAAATATGTAATCAATTCAATATTCAATATTTTTTATTCAATCTCAAATGGCAGCATTAACACTGAATTACATGAGAATACATTAAAAATCGGAAAAACAAAACCGAAAAACACAAAGAAATCCTCTGATTATTTGGTATGGATAAATTTCGTGATACTGTACTTTGAATGGGCATATAATATAATACAGTGCAACATTTTAGACCTCATACATGTTGTTGTCTCCGGCACATAAATACCTGTCACATATATGTTAGTTGAACGATGATTTACTCCAACTCTGTTGCTACCATAACAGCTATATTTTCCTGCGACCATTTCAGTGATATTGTGAAATATTAAATTTGATGTGACCCGGAAAATGTGTTTGTCACTTAAAAATTCTTCACTGCTATTAAATCTAAGACAATAACATTTAAAAAAAATCGTGATATTTTGTAAACATTATAAATATTAGTATAAAAACAAGTATAAAAAATAATATAAGTACAAATGCCTTTGTTGTATTATTATCAAATCTTAAATTGCTTGGTTTAGATCAGTTTACTAATGTAACATAAAAATCAACTAATAACGTTTTATAAATGCAGACGATAGTCGATAGTAGGCCTATAAGTTATATGAATGAGTGTGTAATATTTTGACCTTCGACCTCCATGCGCAATTGAAACTACGAAAGAGATTATTGATTATTTAACGAACGCTCATGGGTTATTTTAAAGTTTGCTAGTCTGTAAAGTGCTGTCTCTCTCGTCTTTATTGCTGTAAACTACAATTAGTCACATTCCAAGTTTAAAGAGAAATCATTCTATTTGCAATATTATATTTTAAATCTGCGCGATATATGGGCCTATATACTGAGTGTAAGTTTACCTTTCGATAGGGACGGATCTGTTTTGGTTTTCGTTGAACCAAGTAACTTCTATAGACGGGTAACCCTCTAAGACGCATTCTATTGATGTAGTGTGACCATACTTAAGAGTAGATGAGCTGTCAATACTGATATGAATTGGAACTATTGAAAAGAAAAAGAGTTACTCAGTGAATTAAAAAGATTCCTTACCTAAGGCCTAAAATTTCATAACATTGATTCGGACTTCATAAGTTTGATTGAAAGGTATAATTGTAAGTAATGCGAAGATATTTAAATAGTAAGCAACAACTGAGGCCTACGTCATTCTGATTGAAAGCATTGGAGTTGAAATGATAAATTACTTCAAATTTTTAAGAAGCGTTTGCAAATGTCTAGGCTTATATATAACTGTTATATCTTATCTTTTCCTTAACTTTGATTACATTTGAAAGAAGCATACGGGTACGGGGATATACTTGCAAATACTGTAAAAAGCGCATGTAGTAGTCCTATTAAATGGTGATACCCAATATAAAAAAGTGATCCATAAGAAATCCTCAGCAAAACTGTAGGCCCGTAAGCATGCGACTTTCCGTCAACCTATTGTGAACCAGACTCCCAACTAAGGGTCACTCATTCTTAGAATGCTTACCATTTACAACCACCTGTACCTCTCGGGACGCCGTGCTGTATTTGTTGGAAGCCAAGCATGTATATATACCACCATCCTCTGTACGAGCAGCATCAATTGTAAGAATGCTATTTCTGAAAATTTAAATAAACTAATGCTGTCACTAAAGTGGCTGGTGGAGCAGTTGCTGATAGCAATACTTCTAGTTTCAGGGCCCTGGGCACACGCCTAGGCCTACACATACGCACATTAGCGCAAATTTTACTTTAATTCTAAAATTGTCTGCATAATAGTTCATTTTTTTTATATATAAATAAAATGCATTCCAAATTTCGTAATCATGGAAATAAGTGAGAGACATGGAACGCCGCTCAGACATTAATTCGATGATTATATTTCATTCTTTATAATGATAAAAGTGCGTAAACGGCGTTCCATAGGTAACGGTAGGCCAACTTACGTTGTAATTACTTCATCCGGTAAGTTATTTCGTCTCCATGAAAGCTGTGGTTTAGGATAGCCAGTCGCGTTACATTCAAACTGAATGGTTTCATTTTCTTGAATGTTCTCACTACTTACAAACGGATATATTTGCACATCACCTGTTATTTCAACAATTGAGAAAATAACGAAACTAGTCAAAATATTCAAACATAATTTTAATAATATTCAAAATAAACATAGCAGTAAATTGCTAATCATAACGGAAAAACTATAGAGTTTATGTATAGAAAACTATAAGAAGTTTGTGCGAGGAGTAAATGGAAATGCAAATGGAACACTCAGGTCCAGGACGAAACTCATTGCATCAGCTGTACTGATATCAAAGATAGCTTCGTCTTAAACTGAGCGTAGTAATAGTGAACATTATCTAGGAAAAAAAGCATTTTAAAATAGTACGTACTGTAAACAGTTACCATGGCGACTGAGTCAACCATACCCTCAAAATTTTCAGCGGTACACATATATTTGCCGGCGTCGTCCCTTGTTACGTTCCCGATGATCAAGATAGCTTCAACGCCAAACGTTTCTTCCTTAATAATCCTATTGAATTGAAGATAATAAAAGTATGAATTAATAATTTTTTTTTGGCATTTTCAAAGCTATATTTTAGAAGCGCACCGGAATTTTAATTTATACTGTATTGGCCCATTCTTATGACAGTTATTTCTGGTGTAATATAATTTCATTAATTTGATAACAGGGCTAATTATTTTTGACATTGAAGTCAAAAGTGGTTCTATAATACACGCTCTGGGGGAGGAATTTTCCGACAAGGGCATCGTTTCTGGCGGAGGCCAATGGCGCTCAAGGGTGAACAAGAGTCCTTCTTATGCAAAATGTTATGCTGGTTTGATAAACCTCGCCCCTATCGGTGATAACTACATAACTGCACATCATGAGCTGCGAGTGTCGTACAAGTTAGCATCTTACTTGTCTTCTGGCATAGGCCCATCCAGTCTGTTCCAAGAATACTCGATGGGGGGAGGGCCTGCCGCTCGACACATTAAAGTCACCATGCCGAACTCCTTCACTAAGTGGTCTCCCGGTGGGAAAACTATCAGTGGTGGCAGTAACGCCCTGTTAATATTTGTTGGTATGGTGGGAAACAAATTAGCTGGTTCGACGGTCGTCGTGATTTCAACTCGATCCTGCAATATTACATCATGATCATTCCCTATTTGTCTCTCCGTGGGATGCTTTATGGTCGGTTGTGTAGCAGTGTTTCCGGGAGGGTTTCGCAAATGGTTTTTTCCTGAAACGTGAACATATTTAGGCCTATATTAGTCACATCATAGATCGTAAAACAGTTGCCATTAATTCATAAATGATGACGCCGATGATGATGATTATAATGGTTGTGATTGTAGTGACGATGACAACGACGACAATGACAATGTTTGTGATGATGGTGGTGGCAATGACCATTATGATGATGACAAAATAATGATTATAATGATTATCACGTTGACCATAAAAGCGTGAAGATGATGAATGATGATAGTTGTGATGAGATGTAGCTGGTATCTAAATGAAATATGCCTAAATAATCAACATAGGCCTATCATAATAATAATCCAGATTATAGCGCCTAAAGTTAACAACCCCGAGGCGCATAAACAACATAATAATACAAATACAAATAATAACAAATAATTAGCAGCGATGCAATAAATGAAAGTATTAAATTACAAAAAACACAGCAAATCATAGTAGGTTAAGTAATATTAAAGAAAGTATTAAATTCAAACCACAACAAACTTTACATAAACACGTGGAACCATGCTTCTAATTCAAACTAAAAATAATATTATTATGTATGAATTATACCATACATAAACGTCAAGTCAAGTACGTTAAGTGTGATGATAATATTGCGTAGTGCGTGAAATTACGATAAACTGTGTGATTTGCTTAAATGCCATTAAAAGCGCAGTCTAATAAAAAAAAGTAGGTAAATATGCTAAGTGCCATTGATTAATTAGATCGTGGAAATAGCAAATAATATACAGGTATATCACAGCTAAAAGTAATACATATTTAAATGTTCCAGGGAAATCGTGCCATGGTAAATAGGCTACATATTAAGCCAAGTTTTCATAAAATCGCTACATTGTCGCTACATGCTATCGACGACAACTTTCGGCGTGGCTGATTTGTTGGTCGAATTCGGCAAACTTTCCAAAATGAACCAAATGATAATATCTACAATTATGTGGAGTTATTTTGTTAATGATACTAACCTTACAATATACAGTACGTGCATTTAATATTCTAACTACAGATTAGTTCTGAACAATGTGTTAATAACTATGGTATATCTCCAATTATCACTCTGTTTCACCTGTTCCTTTCTTTATACAAACGGATTCGCATTCCTCCTTTGTTTCAAAGCGATTTTCATTTCCAGCGCAGCCACCATAGGTGAAGGAGCGACACATCTGGAATTTTGCATCGTAGAAAAACTTGCCAGTCAGTCTATTACAGGGTCCTATGTCGGCAGGTAGACTACAGAAAGCTTAAGGAGCAAACAGTAACATTATGAATCTCCTGTTTGTTTTGCTTTTTCATTAACCACCGAAAACAAGATTACGTTAAATTCATCCATCTATTATCCATCTACTATTATTATTATTATTATCGGTCATTCAATCAAAATTATTTAATAATATAAACTCGATGTCCTTCGCAATATACTGGTGAACCATGTTTACCTAATTTTATCAATCATATTTGTTCAACTGAAATTTCAGTATCGGCCTCTTGGAAATTGCAATAAATGTTAATTTGTTATTATTATCGATAACTAAATGTTCCAATGTGACACTTTAGTATAGGGCATGGTAATTGGGGAATGGCGCGGTCATTCTGTAGTTAGTAAGTGTGATACTGTACTTTGAAGGGTGTGGTCATTCAAGTGAGCTCTTTGGTTGGGCGTGGTCATTGCGGAAATTGTGGTGGTGTGGGTTCGACGCAGTATGATAGTCTGGTCGGGACAAGACGGATATTATGCTTTTGGTAGAGCTTGCTCAGTGCAGAAAGAATGGGAAAATTCTTGAATGTGCCCCTAATACCTAATCAACCATGGAGCTATACAATTAGATAGTTTCATGATCAAACTAAATACTTGAATTATTATAGGAAGATTTTTATATTTACACCCTTTCACAGTAGCTTGTCATAAAGATGTTAAGCACTCAAGCACAAAAAAAAAAATTAACAGGACATTGTTATAACAGGTGATCTATCGTTATAAAAGTAAGTACGCAAGTAAAAGAGAAGGAGTACAACAGGTGAGAAACAGTTTACTATCTAATAAGAAACATCCCTGGATCAGATTAACCGTCTACAAAACTACGTGCTATAATATCAAGCTGATAGAAAGAGACGTGTGCTTACAATGAATTCTGATTATTAATCGACCAACGTTCTTGATTTAATAACTCGCGTTATTGGCCGAATTATCTCAGTGATTAGGAATTAGCATCGAAGCAATGTTTGTGGTATGGCTTTGTTCGTGTTACAGATTATATTAATTTAGCACGAAATGTGTGAATGTGTAATGTAGCGGAGAAGAGGCCTTGGAAGGGCTTGGTAGTTTTAAGATTAGTGGGTGAGATACGCAATTTTTGGCGTAGTAGATTTTTTTTTGTCAGTGAAAGTGAAAAATGCTTTGGTCTAAAATACAGTAAGGCCAAAAAACATGATTATTGTTGCTGTTGAAATAGAGTAAAGCCACATTAAAAATAATTCATCACCTCCTGCCTCAACATCCATCACACAGATCCTGTTGCACAATAATATCTCGCGTGCGTAAAGGCCTAACCAAGTCGAGTCCTATGACTAAATGGAATAATACTGGACTGAAGATGCTAACAAATTTCATATTCGTTCAGGTATCAAAGGAAAATGTTCAATTCAGGCATTGCCTACATTGGTAAAATTCATAGTGATTCGTAGTAATTGAGATTAAGGTAGTAGAAGAGCCGACAACATTCTCAGATCACTACCACCTAGTGCGCGCCTTCACTCCTACCTGGCATTCGAAATATCAATACAAACATATTGGCCAATAAAATAACATAAACCTACATGTATACTTTTGTAGGACTATAAGCACAATATAAGCAGTGTAGCACATCGGTAATGGTGCATTCACACCAAATCCAAATTTTCGGATCGGAAAGCCTACCGATCGTGATGAGAAAATCGAATGTGATTGGGACGCTGGCGTTTTCAGCGCTTCGGAAACGCGGTCCGAATTTCGTTTCGGATCCGATGTGAATACTGCTTCAGGCTTAGAATTTTCAATCGGAAAGTCGTAGGTTCTACCGAAGCATGGTCACACTGCTCATGTTCATTGACAGGACACTCTCTCTCTCTCTCTGTTTGCCTCCCTTCACTCAGGAGTAGAAATGGGTTGGCCTATTCTGTAGGATTTTAATGATTTGTAGGGAAATTGGTGCTGAATTTATATAGGCCTACATAACTAGAAATACTCCTCCAGGGAGTGGAAGAGGTTTTCACATATGGTGTATTAATTCTGTATCCATTGTGCAGGAGATAAAAGCGCATTGAACAATACTTTCTGACATGATAGACCTATGTGCACTATAAAAATAATGATTATAAATAAATAATCCGAAATAAACGCATCGAATACTGAAGAGAGTTTCAGTTGCAGTATATTTAATACTTTATCATTTAAATAAATATTATGAATATGAATATACTTTCGAATGAAACCATATTTTTTTTTAAGTCAGTTTGAACTTTTGTTTAAATTAACTAATGACCACACATCTTTGCTTTATCTGTGGATATAAAACTGTCGGGGTATATATCATTGTATTTGACAACTAAGGAATATCGGTACCTTAAAAATCATCTTCACGCGGAGAAATCAATAAATCTGATAATTAGATTTAGGAATAGAGTTAGTGATCGGCCAAACAGTAATCGACACGTGCTCGACATAATATTAACGCCGTTTGTGGATGGATAATACTTTACTAAGGTCAACTAGGAATATATAGGTTATAATATGTATCGTATCTTCAAATTGTAGCCCTAATATGTTCGAGACTAAATTTGTATCTGAACAAACAATATAAAATCATATATTTAATGCTTGCAGTACACCACGTAGGTAGTTCTGAAAAGAACTGTTTCAGAACTATCTACGTGGTGTACAGCATGCATTAAATATATTGCTACTTCGCCATGCAAACCTTCAAACAATTAAAAAAAAAAAGAGCTATTGAAAGCAACGTCACCAAATCCCTCAAAACGACGAAGCAGTCAAGATGATGATGATGACGATGATCACACATCATATCATCATCATCATCATCATCATCATCATCACCACCATCGTCATCATCACCACCGATATCAACCATCACCATCATAATCCATCATTATCATCATCGATAATCATCATTTTATTTACAGCAATCGATAAAGATCTCAATAAGATTACGGAATGTACACTTACCTGGTGGTGGAGGTATGTAGTTGAAGCAGTTATCACGCCCCTTCTTGCGAGACCTCTTCGGCTTGTAAGGCTCAAAACGTTCGCAGTCGAATTGAGCAGGCCAGTTTTGTCCATAGCTTGCGAATAACCCTTTACACTTTTCTTTTGCCTAAGAAAATATATAAATGTATATGGTAAGTTAGTAGTATTAAAATCTGTCTCTTATACACATCTAGTTGGGTATAAGAGACAGCCTACCGATCGTGATGAGAAAATCGTCCTCATTCATCATTATAATAATCATATTCATTAACATTTTATTGCACCATGATATCACCGTGGTCATCATCGTCTTTAACATCCTTATACCAGGCATCATCACTCTATCACCATCTTCATCAAGCATCACCCCTACGAGGCCTCATCGTCATCGGACTTCGACTCTACTCCACATGGAGTAATAATTAAGTATTTCTCTAGTGGTCACATGATTACGTTTAAGTACATACAACGTTCTAACATGATATTTGTATGAACTTATCACAGCTGTATTACGTTGACACTTGACCTTTGTATATAAATATGAACTTCCACTTATTCACTCTTAACATGTAGCTTTTAAGTAGTACTACCTTTTAATCTCATTTAAGTCAGGGAAGTTTAAAGTGGCTCTCTCACGACGGTTTCTACGTATAACATACACGCACACACGAGTAAAATGGAGCAGTATTTGCCACTCGCTGCGCGCGTGTATACATTTAAGTGCTGCGCGTGATGCATGCCACTCAAGGATGGGACCTCAGAATGTTTATGATTTCAACTTGCATGGAAAGATGAATGTGGGCTCACTAAAATGACGTAATCAAAACGTGACTGCTACAAGTTTAAACCTTACAAATTTTCAAGTTTCAAGTAGGATTTCCAAAAAACAAAATGTATATAGTATACATGTTAGATTATAGTATTAATACGCCTTGGGAAATATCGCCAAGGAGGACCATTCCTTTACCATATACTAGTTTCATTTACTGTTGTTTTGTCTCGGCTCAACTTTTTAAAACCAATCATGTTAAGTTTAAGTTAAGCCAAGAACGAATTGTTATTTCAGTCTTTAATTTGGTACAATAAGTTTCGGTTATCAACTACTGTTAAGACATCGATTGACACAGTTGAGTATTCGCTGATTGGCAGACGTTTTATTTATTAAAGTACTGCCGTAGACACATAACTTTCTTCTGATGACCTAAAAATACATACCGGCACGGTAAAGCCGGTCTCACACGTTGCGATTTTTGCTTACAAGCTGCGCTACGACACGCTCAGTCTAAAATTGTCTGGTGCGCGGGAGTTGGGGGCAAGGTGTGAGATACACGACACGAATAATCATGTGAAAAAAGCAAAATCGCAACGTGTGAGACCGGCTTAAGTAGACTACTATTATACGATATGATTGACATCTATATGTGATTGTACTAGAGCATAAAATACCTAACCGATTTGTCAAATATTTTGTCCCTATGATTTTTGCTGGTGATAGATTTTATTCTTTGTCAGACTGGTGTGAGGCCACGGTCGAGTTTTTCTAAGCCTTAATAACGAGGAGCAAGTGTTGCATGACTAGAATTCAATTTCCTCAGGGTGTTGTTAATATAACAAAAATTCATCAACCACAGTTCAACCAATCACCCGTTCAAATTCTACGCACGCCCGTGTCACTATCCCGCGTGTGTACCAATTATTCGCCTAATTATGATCGGCAAAATGATAATAACTCCTTGTTCCTTTATACACCGTGGATACCTAAAACTAAAAAAGGCACTTAGTTAAGTAAGAAACACATACTTCACCAGGGAGAATAACGATTCAGCTTAGGAATTAACCTTAGGGCCTTAAACCTGTAGTTAGCATTACGTCGTTGACATACGCGATTATAGTCCACATGCCTACTGTTCACACATTGTGTTATATGGCTGATTTCGATTGTACTGTCTTGGGAGGGCTGGACTAGCTTTCTTTTATTACAATACTATTTAAAATATCGCCATACGGTTGACAAGTAATAATACTACGGAAATCCGATATCATTCGAACCTGTTGTTGTATGATTGTGTTGCCTAAACCTCGGGCAATGCTTAAAGGCACTTTTGGATGATGTTTATATGTATTTCTTATATACATACTAAAAAGAGATTGAAGTAATAATTGACAAGACAAACGCCAGTCAGTGGTGTGTTTTTATGCTTTCGGGAACAGGGGGTTAAAATGCAAACGTAGGCCATTCTCCTCTCTTTTGAGTACAGTCCACCTCAAGGTTCGTATTTTCAAGTCTGTATAACACGAACCACGGTTCCTAACATTATTTAGTCGGCATAAATAATTGGATAGGTATAATGTATGGTCTACAAAGTAATGCCATTGACATTTTCAATTAAAGTTTAATCCTTCTCTAGAGCATCTGAGACGCTTGGAAGAATGGTAATGCTTCTTGAAAATTCAGCTTGACCATGGTAGTCATTGTCAATTCACTAGGTCTATGGTTTATAGAGCATACTAAAGGGGTAGGTCCTTGCCGATTATATGCATCACACACTAATGATGCCAATGTCGTTCATCTTATAACCGGGAGTGGCATTCAGAGGTTTTGTTGTGTGGCAAACATTTTTGAAGAAATGTTTTTTCTATGTTTGATGGAAGTGCATCCACACCTTGTGCCCAAGAAACTCAGGGTCTTTATGAAATCTACTATATTACGATAGGCATCCCCATATCTCTTGTAGTGTAGGCCAATTCATTCAAGACAACATGAATTTGGCCATTCAAGTTTGAAAAAACATGTATGTAGGCTATAGTCACTGTAACCTGATTTTGTAATCCTGGCAAAGTTTAATAGGCCTATAAAACAACCTAAGAAACCGAACTGAATTTGCATAGGCCTACATCGACTATGGATAGAAGTTTCGGATTTTCACCTTGCATACCGTGTTTAGGCCTATCACAGGCCGCTCAGTAAAAATTGACATTTTTTTTAGGGTTATTACATGTTACTCAGGATCTTTCGCTTCAGTTATTCTGAACTCCTGTGCAGAAGTGATTCTGGCAACAAGACGTCTGATCTGTTTAATTAAACACCAAAGAGTGATACTGTAATCAATTAATAATCCATGGTCCAATGAACAATTGTTTGTAAAACAGTTAATTAAATCATATAAATGGCGTGTAGCGTCTGCAAAAGACAATCACCAGTTAGTTACATTCGTCTGCAGTTGATTTTAATTGATCACGTGAACAGCATCAATAATCCTCAACACGCCAAATAAACTTTGCACAATGCTACTAATAAAATAACCAAACAAATCTGTTCCGATTAAACACAAGAATAACATACGCTGCCAGGTTGAGTCGGCGTCATTACAGATACCTATAGCCTATACTATACGGTATCGAACAAAAATATTTTTTCTCGTCAAGACATTTTGTTAAAAAAATAAACGTATTCTTTAGTTTACTTTATTTTTTACCACAATATTAGTAAAATACGTCAACCCATGTTTATCATTATTTTATACTGTAATAATAATAATAATAATAATAATAATAATAATAATAATAATAATAATAATATATTTTCGTAGGATATTATATAAAAGCTAATTTATTTATCTATTTTGTAAGAATGGTTGGACAGACAGATTAATAACCTTCACCTCAGAATATTCTTCTCAAGTTAAGTACTGTCGTAAGTTGAACAATCTCATTCCAAACTCGTTATTGTCGTTATCGTGAGTAAATCTCTGTAAATGTTAGCGCTTGCCGTCTGTCTATCACGATATGTAATCCAGTGTTGAGATCCCCACAACATGAATTCGTCACGATCACTGACGTTTCATATCATCTTCTCCAGCGAACAAATGAATTTAAAAGATCTTATCACGTACCGGTACCAAATTAATAGTAATCGATTGCCTTGTCGTAAAATCGCCTTTAGAGTGCGCCAGATTCATGTTAGATACCATATTTAAAACTCTTCCAGTGTTGAATTTTCAATAAAATATATTTCTTTTTAAGCCTAATGAGCGACATTTCACATAACATATTGGAGTAAAATCGATGGATTTAAATAATATTTTTCAAATTAATATTGCACACTTCGGAGAACTAAGCACCCCATGATAATTCTCATTAACTGGAGCTTTGTTTATACAGTAATTTGTTTCAAAGCTATTGAAAAATAACCTCCAACAAAGAGAAGCATGTAAATAAATACAATCAGGACAACGTAACGTTGGTGACGATATCGTAACATCTTTTAACAAAAATTGAAATGTACATGCTTACTAGGCTTACCACCAGAGGTTGATAAAACTAGGAAAAATAAGTACCGTACGCAGTGTTTAGAGAACTGTTTGGCATATCACATATTATTCATAACATCATTCATCTAACCATTCACTTTGGCCGTGTGGGTTTTGCCTTGACAATTTGCAGTGGCGGATATTGAGGGGGTGGGGGCGAACAGCCTGGCACTCACCGCGCTCGACGGTCGTCAGACGACGCGATTCTAAGTAGAACGCAACGCAACGCCACGACGCGAGCGCAACAGATCGTTTTCAATGACGATCTGTTGAGACTGCCACCGACAATAGCTGACGGCGTCGCGTCGTCTAGCGGTAATAGGTAGCGGGGTTGGTGTACGACGCAGTGAGTTGCCGGCTTAAGGGGCGTACTCCCCTCCATTTTTTGTAAAAAGAATTGTTTTGTAAAGGTCATCAGAAAATTACTAAGCTATTAGTGAAAATCAGTAAAAATACCAACGACAAAATAATGAAGATTCTAACATGGTGTGTTCCCTGAGATCGACTCTCTCTCACTCAATTCGCACATTCACACACCCTCTTTCTTACTGGGCTGGATCCGCCCCTAAATTTGAGAGATTCAATTAAGTTTTGTAGTGACATTTCGGAAGCATTTTTCATGACATTTCGAATTCTTTGTTGAAATTTTTAAAAGTGTTTCCTCGATATTGAAAGTGTTTAGACGTAATAATTGATGGCCTGCGTTAATTAAACGTTAAATATGCCTACTTGTTTGATACAATGTTTTTTATTTAATAATTAGTGTTATCTAATTACCCGTTGCCTATCAAAACCTACCAATGCCGGGTATTGCAAAGAAATCAAATTTCTGCGCCTTTGAAAATTCTCCATCAAGATCATAAATCATTTTAGCACCGTGGTAGCTTTAGTGCAGATTCAAAACAGGGTCAAATGAGTCAATTAAAAAAACAACTAAAACGGATTGTGATTGATAGACGCAGTATTTTCTTTCCAATCTGGATAAATTGAGTCGGCAAACAATCTCGAAGGAGAACTTAAAACAAATATAATAAAACAGCGAGTGCTCACAAGAAACCCAGGCGTAATTCTTGATTATATTACTGTGGTGGCCAAATCATTCCCTTGATGAGATTTCATATGTTTTACTAGACTTATGTTTTAACACTCAATTATTGTGGTAGAAAGAATGCAAAAATAAGTAAATGTAGGTTGATACCAGAGGTTAAAACGTTTACTCTTTTCTTCCTGGTTAATCTCATCAAAGGTGTTTACCTGGCTACCTGTTGTCGTTTGGTGTCCTCGAAGTAAAGGTGTCAAGATATTATATGTTGACTCTTGGAAGGTAAATTCACAAAATGTGGTTATTTTCCCGCCTGCGCTTACAAAAATTTCGCAAAGTAACAATTTGTGTAGTTCTTCGAAACCGGATAATGCAGTATTACCTACAAATAATGACAAAATGGTTGTCACCAAGGGGTGGCTATGATATTTGTAGGCCCGCACTCCTCAGCTCTCTGGTGAAACTAACAGATCGTAATATGACACGACAAGTGGTACCGGTATACCTTTAAATATAACGCATTTACTTAGGCCTAATTAAATTATGAAACTGATTCTTTTGATTGCAGGCGGCACAATCATTTTCGACGCGGAGTAAAAAGTCACTGAAAGAGGGTACAAATCCACTCCAGCCTAGCACGGTAGGGGCCGCAAAATTTATTAGAAAAGGCACCTCTGGACCCCTACAATACCAAAACTGCGATTTAACCGGCTCTTCCCCTTGACCCCGCCAGTGGTTCTAGGCGATTACCATACCCAGTTGGTGTATTTGAGCACCCCCACGCACCTCCTTTTCCTTCAATAGCAATCATGACTATGATCCTGGTTTCATAGCATCAAATTAATTACTTACTTAATCTTTTCTATATTATAAATCAATGAATTTGTAAAATAAATTATGCTATGTCAGTACTTAACTTAGATACTCAATGCTTCATTATCGGCTATTCTCATAGTTATTTTCATGTTCATGTTTAAGTGCACTCTTTATTTTGAATTTGTAGGCCTACATTTTATGTTGTATTCAAATAAACATAGGCTTTATAATCACAGATCCTATATAGGATCTGTGATATAACATAGGGCCTGTTAGCAACTAAAATGTACCGTCATTATGTGTTACATGATTACATGGTTACAGCACCTTGTAATTACAACATCTCTTTTGGGATAAACGAATACATCAGAGGTCATTCACCACTAAAGGTAAATTGGCACAAATCGAATTTAGCATAGAGCATATTTAGTAGGCCTATACAGACTATGGGATAGAACACTAAATTTAAGTTATCCAAACTCTTTGGGTACCGTACATGGTGTTGGGGATACAATAGCAAGGGGAAATTCATTATCCCATGACAATAGTAAGAACATAATACATACTTGTCTACTACTGTAATTGACTAGGCCTATTGTGTATATTCGCGACTATTAGAAGAACTGAATTTAGGAATGCTGATCCGGTCCTCTACGGTAACAGTATCATCAACCATCAACTATCCTTGACATTAGAGTACAGAACAGTTAGGTGTGGAGAAACGTAATTAATGCTAGTGTGAAACACATGTTAACACTTTTTAAGGTTACAGGTGAACGATATGGCACCGATGGGTTAAATTCATACAATAATGTACGGTATGGTTCATTATTTACAGACACTTGGTTTACAGACGAATGCGTCTAAAATTTCATGTAGCCATTATAGTTTCAAATTTGCCTACACTTCAATAATTAGAAAAATCATGATTTAATTTTTGTTTTATGTTATTCTAACAGCGATAAGCCTGACAATGTCTGTTTTGTGCCGATAATAAATTTATTTTGCATAATGTTATGTTCCATATAGGCATGCATATATATATATACATATATATACAGCTTTATATATATATATACATATATATATATACATATATATATATAGGCTCTATAATTAAACATAACAGATTTAAAAAAAAAATGTTTATTAGTCTATTAACTGCTGTTGAAAATCTGCGAAGTATTATCTAACATTATTATTTTCCAGTTCCAATTAAGTTGGAAGATAAATGCAGAGGCCTAGCCATCGATCCATGCATTTATAATTTACATTTTTTTTTTCGAAACGTTGGAATTTATTTCTTTTTCCTAAATTTAAAAACTATTTTAACTATGTCAAAACTCATGTTCAGTGCCCTACCTTTTCGCAAAATTGTTTACATGCCTTTATGCCTTTCTGCCTTCGTCTCTGGGGGCATTCTGGAAAAAATACGGAGCATACAAATGGTCGAATATACTCAGAACATCCCGAGTTAAATAGTGGTAAATATTCTCCCAGTAGTATACCCTCAGCCGTGCTAACATCGGGGTGATCGAAGTCATTAGGTAGAAGAGTCGACGAGTAAGGTAAACCAGCATTTGAACATACATCCGAAAGCGTTAACTGTTCACACGAGCCTAAATTCCGATTATTTTTATTCGTCCCAAAAACCAGTGTAAGTTCGATGCAAAGGTATATAACGCATATCCTCTGGAATAACGTGAACACATCCATCATTATAATACAATGATTGTCACAAATTTGACACTTTCGATGTAAACTTTCTACTACAAGTTAGCAAACGATACTACTGGCAAGGCATAAGCGTATCCCACAACGTTAACGAGTTTCCAAAACTAATTCTTTAGTCAAGGCACACAAACGATAAAAATGTAAACAATTTACTAACAATGTAGATGATGTTCAGGTATAATTGACCTACATTGTTGTCCTAATAATAGTCCAGAAACAGGGCATGTGCTGGCTGAGGAGTTATCCTGTAAAAAGCTTTTGACGATTGATTGATCAATGAAAGCTCTGCTTGCTAGACTGCTCAAAGTTACTTTGATAGCGGTGTCCGCTAGAGGGCGGTAGTTATGTTACATTAAAAGTTGCTTGTGACTGAAACCAGTCTCGGCTTCCATATTATAAACTCGCTGTTTTATTATAATCCAGAGAACACGGAACTAGGGGGTACTGCGTTATGGAGAGTAATGTGTGACCGGAAATGGTCTGCCAGTTGGTTGTTACCATGCGCCAGTGATGTGAGATGTGAGTGAGTACAGCAAGATGAAACTATTTATGTAATGCATGAATAAAGTTCGGGGTTTGTCGGGTGGTGAAATGATTATTGTACATTTTAAGTGCTCCCTCCATGCATAAGTGTAAGCTGACAATTATTTCGAAGTTCCCTCTTTCCAAGAGGGGATGCAAATACTTTGTGAAAATGAGTTCGCCGCGGTACTCATTTTCACAAAGGAATACACTCAGCTGGTTAGCTAACTATATGCAAATTTACATGAACACCTGGGAAGAAAGGTGCAATCACGTTCTGTTGCCTAGCAAACGTCTGTACTGTAGCTGGGGGGGGGGGGGGGCTCGGGGGCTAGCCTACTGATGTACTGTGTATAGCGGGGGACGATGAAGCATAATATGACTAAGCCTAGGCGTAAGTAGACAGTGCAATTATATGTGATAGAAAGTACACTTTCGAAAGAAATAAATTAAAATAAGGAAAAAAAAAATAACTAGGGCCTAAGAATAATTCAGTTGCAGACGTACCTTGTTTAAGTATTATATGCTAAATATGCGGCTCCTGTAGCCCAGCTAGGGAAGGCATTCATGTGCAAAGCAGTGGTGTTTGTTTATCCATGAAGAAAGCACGCCGGGATAGTTTGTCTTACCAGGAAAAGGTGACGTAATCTAGCTTATGACATATGCACGCTAACTATAGCGTGAGTGTGACGTCACCAAAAAATAAAAATGTTCTATTATAAACAAAATATTAATAACTACAAGGTTTGTGGGCGTAAATTCCCTTAATACGAATTAAGGGTAGCCCCATTTCCTTGCCATACAAATTACAACTCCCATTGAAGTCGAGAAATACGGGTAGCTGAAGTTTTTCTCGAAAAACTGACTACGAAACCATATCGAAATTCACGTTCCACTTCTGACTCTGAGTTGTGCTTCGCACACGCCGCTCATGGCGGCGTTCCGGGAATCCTGCGACTAGCTTTTATCAGTTCAACTTGTAATTGAAACTAAGAAATATGTTGACCTATTTGGTAAACGGTTGTACTAACGAAAATTATTGCAGTCACTTCCAAAACAAATACAGAATGCTTTCTTGTTTACATCATCGATTTAATAGCAGTCAGGATTTAATGGTCCGAATCTATTGTCAGAACCGGTAATCCGGTTTAATACTTTTTTATCTGTTTTTAGAATTGATTACACTAGATCTCATCCAGACAAATCTACTGTATTCATTTAATTTTACTGTAGGTCTACTCGTTAATATAGTTTCAATGAAGTTGAAATTCAGAAGTACAATCATTGTGCCGTTGGTAAACAGTTTTCCATTCATTTTCCGATCATTAAACATTTAGACATTTTCGTTTTATTACTAATTTGTAAACCTCTCGGAACGCTCGACTACAACCAGCGCATTTAATTGGATTCATAGCTGAATTAGCATAAAAAAAACACATATGCGATTAATATACTAACATATTTAAATTGTCCAAGTACTGACAAAAAATTGACTACAATAAGTTGAGCTGTGCAAAAAAAGAAACCGCACAAAATGAATGACGTCATTTTCAACGCTTTGTAGTTATTTTTGGTTCTCGTTGAATCTTGATGATTCTGCATGGATGCAATTTGTCGCAAAGTTTTTCTAGTTTTCACAAATATTTTGATATGCATAAAAGAAACTAGTATAAACACTCCTACACCACCACTAATCTCAGCGTACAAAAGCCAATGTTTTTATAGAACTTCATAATAAATGGTATTGAAGATACGGTGAAGATCCACACGACGATAATAACCTTCCTTAAAAAACTATTACTGATTATTTTAAGATGAAAGAATGGATAGAAAACAGCCAGGTATCTTTCAAAAGGCTAACAGTACATGATGACAAAGTGTTAAGAACGCTAACACACTCATCATTGTAATGAATAGTTTAGATCCACGCAGAGTAAGCCTTCCATCTTCCGTTTCACTCCAAATGCCATTCGAAGTAATTTCCACCATCGTAAAAACACCATTAAATGCTGTCAAAATATCGACAAATGCCAAGCCTGTCACCACTGTATTAGTAGTTGTCTGCAATGTATTGTTTGTCAGTATGGCGTATATAACTATAGAAGGTTTCCCACTACAATGAGAATTGTAATTAATACCAAAAGAACTAAACCTCAAATGGAGTAAGAACATATTTCGGGGTTTTTTACAATTTTACGGTAAATCATATTAGACCTTTCTGAGATGCTACATTTTTTTTTTACAATCCATGCTCTCTATGGACGGCCATTAGGGCCATTAGACAAAGGTAAAGGAAACAAAGAAAAAAAAAAACAATAACAGAACAATAATAAAACAACGAACAAATATATAACAAAGAACAATGTTCCCGACGAGAGCAAAGTGGGCCTGGTCGGGTGTCACTCAAAAGTGGTCCAGGGCACTAAGCCCCCGAAAAATATGACAATTTAAGGGTTTCAAAGGCTTTAATCGATTATATAGTCTACCAATATGTATAAAATACATATAAGTTTTTCCTACCCGAAGAATTGTGGCTTTTCTCCCCGACAGGGCAGCTCTACCCGACGGGGAAATTTTTCATGCATTTCACGGTAATTTCGCGTTTAACCTAGCTGCAATTGGTTTAAACTCTTAAATTGCAAATTACGTTCATATAGTTTTAATTACCCGTTTATTAATATTCTTTAAATAAATGCTCCTATTACCCACTCGCAACTCCGGAGCGTCACCAAATGTAATCAATCTTTTTCATTGACCATGACAAATTATTCTGTACAGTTTCATTTAGAATCATCGATATGTTTTTTGAGATATTTAGGTGTGGGATGTTAGCACTTTAAATGACCCTCAAATTTATACTGGAATCATGGATCATCACTGAAATTAAATGATTTCTTCCTTGTAACATGGTTAAATTTTCCAGTTTCATTCAGATCAGCTTATCAGTTTTTGGGGATATCTGGTCTAGGACGTTTCCCTTTAAATGATCCACATGTTCACATCCTACTCCGGATCGTCACCAAAAATTAATCATTTTTTTTATTGAACCATGACAAACCATTCTATAAAGTCTCATTTTGATCCATTGTTCAGTTTTTGAGATATTTTAAGTCTGGAACGTTAGCACTTATCCCCAACTTCACACAATAATCTGGATAGTCACCACAACTTAGGAATTTCTCTGTTGTAACTTGGTTAAAAATTTCCAGAAAGTTTCATTTCGCGAGGTGGAGGTCTGGTATGCATATTCATGCATATCAATTCACCTAACTGACCTAACATAGCGCCCTCTGTAATTTCTGCCTTAATTAAGTGTATGGGAAAAAAATAATACCTCCGGATCGTCACTAAAATTTAATTATTTATTTATTAGGTCATGACAAACCAGTTTGAAAGTTTTATTTCGATCCATTGATGCTTTTTGAGATTTTTAAGTCTGGGACGTTTGCACTTTAAGTGACACTCAATTCACACCCGAATGAATCGTCACCAAAATTTAATAATATGTTCCTTTGTAACTTTGTTAAACTTTCCAGAAAGTTTCATTAAGATCAGTTCAACACTTTTTTTTTATATAATATTCTGGGACGTTTCCATTTGAATGGTCCTCATATCCACAACCTACTTCAAATTGTCACAAAAATTTATTTTTTTCTTTATTCGACTATGACAAACTATTTTGGAAAGGTTCATTTACATCCATTAATAATTTTTTTAGATATTTAGGTCTGGGACGTTACCACTTTAAATTACCTTCAAATTTACCCCAAATATGGATTGTCACAAAAATTTAACAATTCCTTCCTTGTAACTTTCCAAATTTTTTAAAAAGATCCAAGCATGGAAAGTGACTAAAGTGCCGGTCAGGAAAGTCCTTGCAAAATATGAAAAACGTGTGGAAGAAGCAAAACTCAGAACAAAAACAATTGTTACTGCAGGAAAAGTCAACTAGAAGACATTGTGGTCACAAAGCACAGACATTAGCCATCGACTTCTGAGATTTAATATTATCAACATATTTCAAGTGACAACTACATTTGTGTTATAATTTCTATACCTAAATTAACTTTTAATCATCTGGTATATGATAAATGTACACTTGGTTGCCTTTTACTGGTATTGACAGATAAACGTTGATATGTGATCTCCTGAAATCGTTTTTAACATATTGGTTCGAGAATTAGAAGAAACAGAAAAATCTGATAAAAAAATGTTAGACAATGAGCTAATGTAAAAGTAACAAAGAAACTTTAGACAAACATGGCCTTTGTTTTCTATACTAGTTTTTAAACGTTGTCTGTCATTGCCCTAGTGGCCTCCCACACTTTTCAACTGAGTAAGATTTTTTTTTTATCGCTTTCATTCAGGGATTGACCATAACACGTGACACGTATTTGACAAGTTTAATTTTAGCCATTCACATTATATTCTGTTGGATGATTTTCTGATGGGTTATTGTTTATTGTACAAACGGAGAGTCAATCACTCTGAACCAAATTAGTTAACTTTTATTGTAGTGGTAAACCAGTGCATCACTTTGATGCAGAATGAAAGCTACATCAATAGACGATTTTCTGTCACGATATTACATACAGTTGTAATTACATATTTCATTTCAGTTCTTTTGGCCACTCCAGTGACAACATCAGATGTGTTCTGTTAGCTTGTAAAAGTTTCCATTTCTCGACTAAACGACACTAGTAACTCAAAACTCGTGATTATAATTTTATTTATTAATAGAGTCGTACATTCTACCCCAATCGTGAT